TTTGGCGATTGGGTCTCCTAAAAATTAAGTCTCCCTTTAAAAGGGGGAGTATATAAGGTATTTCTCCCGCCTTCTGGGTGAGGTGGTCTGAACGGAAGTCTCCTGCTTGCAAAAAATCCTAATGTCTCTACACATTTATTATTATAATGAAATTGTGTGCAATGAACTATTTGAGGATATTATAATATCGTGTATTAATGCATAATAAAGTACGAAAGATATTTGTTTCACTGATAAACGGAACGTCAGTCATCTGGAAAAACTCGGTATCACTCTTTGTCCCACGCAAAAAGAACTATCGCTTCTCTAAGTGATTTACTCGCGCAGACATCTCAAATCGATTGTAAAACTTCCAAAGAATCTTTCAACGTATCCACAAGATTTGATTGCAAGTGCACGTAAAGAGCTAAAATTGAAGAGAACACATTGTTGCGTGCGTACATGTTCGTAATATGTTGAATACACGCAGGTCAGATGAGAACTTGATAAAATTTATTTTACGAAGAGAAACACTTAACAGTTCTGGAAATTTCAGCAAAAATACTCGTACAGCTCTTGACAGTATCACAGTGTACAATCAGTAGTTACACTTCAAACTACTAAGAACGCTAAATGCAACGCAATGCAAAACGTATCTGAAAGCTCTCACGGATATCTCAACAATCCGAATTCAGCTCTGAACTAACAACTGCTCTATTTTGCTCTGAACTAACAACTCTCTCCGGTTTTATAATAGTTTTCCCCCGGCCGCCGAGAAATCTCTAGTACTTCTCGAAAATGCTAGAAGGCATATGAATGCCGAATAAGGTTCTAGCTACTTTTAGCATCAATTACAATTATTCAGTTACGATATCTATTTTACTTATACAGGGACCAGACCAGAATGTCGAGAAATGGTGGCCAAATTTGACGACTTTTGGGGATTTCTTGCCAAATTAGGCGACAAAGTTGCCAAAGCATCGCCAGCTTGGCCATAACCATCGCTAGCTTCAGTTTAGCAAGATAGCCATTTATTCAATGTTAAATAGACAGACTCGCCCCTGTATTCTTACTTTTCAAGCAATTTTAAAATGAGCATATCTTTAGAATTTCCGATACAGAGTCTAGCGCACTAGAGATAAAAATGATTTTTTTCCCCAAAGTTTTGCCATTGCTGGCTTTGAAGTCGTTAAGTTTGTTAATCAAAAACTCACTAAATTTTTACAAAATATGAAATAGATAATAAAACAAGTTCCAAATTTGGGCTTCCAGACGCCCATATACGTGTGGAAACGTACGTTATTCACAATTTGATGGCTCTAGGTACCGTCGTTTTATCACAATGCTCAGAAACATGCATAAATTTACGCAGATGTTTCATTATTTAATTTCTTTAAATATAATATTTGGTGGCAACAGTTTGAAAAGTGAACCGACATTTAAAGATTTCAACGCAAAATATCAATGCGAAATTAAATAAAGTATGGTTACATTAAAATAAAGTATGGTTTTTTTAGCCATACTAGGCTAATGCCCTTTGGGCTAAAAAAAATCCGCATATAATTTCACTGAAATTATTTATATATGTACAAAAGTGTAACAATATGTATGAATAGTTCCTGTTTTGAACCATTCATTTCCTGCGTGTCATATGTTAATACGTTTTAGAATGGAATTCCTTGAGCTTTTACCTTGATGTTGCATTTATTATTATTATTATTATTTTTTTTTTTTGCAAATTTTATTCCAAGGATGTAAATGGCGCGATACAGTTATACATACTGAATAATGTTTTGAGATACTGTACATTTTTGTAAAAAACTATATCTTTCCATAAAAAATAACTACACATAATTATTTTCATAGAGTTTTATATTAGTTTGAGAAGCAATTTATTACACATGGCAAATACAGCATTCCTAAAAGTAAATGCAGATTGATCCAAAAGTCGATTACACCAAGTTTCAAAAATTGTAGAAATTTCAAAATAGATATTAATGGTGATTTTTTTCAATGGATAACATCTATATTTTGTTTGTTTGATGAAACATGTAGAAGAGTGTTTTCCAAGTAGAAATACTTTAAAGACGTTTCGCGGCTAGGTCTTTCAACAGTATGTAGTGTCATTACTCGAATCAGGAAACAAGAAAATGAGTAGTACTCTTGCTGGATACAAACGTCGGACCTTCCGATTGCTAGCTGCATCTACTTTAGAATTACAATGAAGGGACGCCGCAAGAAAGTAGAAAAACCTTATATCGTCTTCCACTCTTCTTTATTCCTCCGTCAGAATCGAATAGGTTAAGGTTGTTTCACTGTTATGCTACCATTGCTGCAGAGTAAACGACTTTACAGGCGTTTTAAGCTGGCGAGACGTTTATGCAACAATGCATATTTATGCAGTTTTCCTTATGAGTGTACAACAACATTAAAACAAAGTATGGTTTATCTACCTGTGCGCAGTACTTTTATTATTCTGTAACTTGTATTACTTTAATATGTGGTATATTTTCAGAAATATTTCGCATTTCGTCTGTTTCATTTTTCAATTAAAGGAAAGCTTTAGGGCTTTCCTTTAATTGAACTCTTCCCTGTTTTATGAAATTCATTACATGGGTTCTAAATTAATATAGCGTTTTAAAATTAAATATAAAATATAAATTAATTTAGTGTCTTGAAGCATAAAATATAATTTTCTTAGTACTGGTCAGTGAATTTTAAATCAATGAGAAAATACATTTCACGGTAAAGAGATTTTTGAAATATTTGGAATTAAGATCATATGTTAGAAATTCAAGTTACTAGAGGTCCCGAGGAGATTAAGAAAAAGAAATCTTGAATAATACAGTTCATTTCTTTCATGACTTTACCGGGTGACGAACGCGGAACCTTCGCGTGATGGAATAATATGCGCTAACGTTTGCATGGCAAAATCACAGGGTAGAGATGCCTCTATTCTTTATGGAACATTTGCATTGCAACATCACAGTAGAGATTCTTCATTTCTTTACAGAATACGATTTTGAAAATAAACTCAGCTTATAATTTGTTATTATGGACATTAAGTGGGAATAAAAAGTACTGATGGGCAAATGAGAATTAGGTACATTAATCAATATGTTGTGACTTACCTCAGTTGTCCGAATGTAACATAAAATCACGTCGATGTATTTTATAATGTTCTACAGCACAAAGGCTGCGACTGTCGTTGGCTTAGGTCATGAAGATTAGTGACAGTATTTATTTGCTCATTTCAGGCTCAGAGTTGAAGGAGAATATTCCAGAGGATGGATCCGAGGTTCTTCCAACTTCTTTTCCTAGCATCAGACTCTCGAGAGATCTTCGATAAGACAGTAATATTTCACCCCACCTAAAAAAGCTGTGCATTTATAAAGATCCTCTTATTCTCTGATATTACAGACCTGGCAGCTGAATCTTCTACAATCATGCCAACGAACGGCTTAGAAATGATATGAATAGCTTGTTTCTTCAAGTACACAATAGTTATTATACATCATTGTCTAACCAAAGACGTAAGCAGGAAAGAGACCGTATGCTGTAGATACTAGCTGAAACAGAAACTTTTGCACTTTCTTTTTTTTATCGAATATCAGAGAAATCATGCAGACCTCTTCCTTGAGAAATACTATCCCAAACATTTTGTAAACATACCAACTAGTTTTTCTTCAGATTTTGCTTCAGGTGATATTTTTACCAAGAGATTTCTAAAGCTGTGCCATTGAAATATTCAATGGTGTTTGGCTGGCTGAAAGTAACCTTTTGTAACTGAAAGACGCTTGTAATAACTCTATGGCGCATGTGCAACTGCATAGCCATTGGCGTTCCAGAGTCATTATTAGTTGATCCCAAACTGAGTGTCAGATTAATTTTGGGGGCTAGCATTAAGATCGAGCTTTATTTCTCACACTTACCTGGATCAAGAAATAATCTTGAACCAGGCGATTAGTAGGAAGAATAGAAAGAGAATTCAATTCCCAACTACAAACCTTTTCCTTAAATTTGTTATTTTTCTTCCTTTATTTTATATTTTGCTCTGTAAGTAATGCATTCGCATATTTATTGTTCTCCGGTACACGAAATTTGCCCATGAACACATTTGTACTGAAAATTCAGTTGTTCACTTAGTGGTAAGTTCTGGCTTCGTAATTAGCTTTGAATTTTGCACAACTGTGTAATTATTAATGATCAAGCGTTTAAGCGTATGACAAAAAATACCATGGATTAGTCATATTACATGCACATTTTATGCTATAATTAAATATGCAAACATATGTGAAAGAATGTTTTAAGAATTACTTGTTTGTCTGTTAATTAAATATTAAATTTCTAAAAAAAGCTTTTTTCTGAATGATTTAAATGTTTTGGGCAGTTTTATCTTTAAGTCGGAACAATATTACCAGATGGAAGAAGATTGCGCGCAAGCAGGAACAGACTGAATAATCTTTTAAATTCTTTTATTATTATTTCTCATGTTCATATATAAAGAGTGTTCAGAAGAAGATTTAGATATACAGTTATTAAATACGTTTAAAGAATTTTGTCTCTCGTTTAACTCCCAGTTGCAGATAATATGCTGTTTGAGAAACGTGTAAAAATCTTTTTCCTCATAAAAGTTATAAAGAATTTGAATTATTATGCGTAAAAGTCTTAAATGATTGCATATTAAGGAAGTCTTCATATCTGCAAGAATTATATATTTTTTAATAAAGAAATTCTTCCATAATAACATTCCTAATTTTCAAGTTGAAGTTTTTCATCGGCTTGAGGCAGGTAAGTTGATTACGTAATATGCCTGGATTTTTCTACCTGTGTTTAGCGATGAAACCTCTTACGGACAGATGGTGATCCTGCGATGACGTCAGTATATTGACGTCACCTTGTCTGTCGCGGCCGATACGAATACGGGTGAGCCAATGGGAACCGCCACGCCGTGTCTAGAATCGATATTGGGCCACGTGATGAGAAAGCGCCAATAGTGGTAGAGCGCGATCCTCTGCGTATCTAGGAAACGAAGACCTTACCTCCAGAATGGTTTTTGTCAGGGTAGCTCTTAGCTGAGCTCTCTCGCTACTTTGTCCAAAAGGACAGGCACCCATGTGACCGAAAAAGAACCATGGAACCAGCTCCGTGTAGGAGACCACGCAAAATAGGACCACCTGACCTCCTACCTGCGTCAAGTCACCTGCCCCTAAGGGCTTTTTTGCTGGCTCTACTGTCTCTACTATCGCTTTTTCAGCCGAGTTGCCCTACAGTTTCCGTAAATGAACTACAAATAGTGGCTGAACAGTAAGTGTGCATTTTGTTTAATTTTTTGTTTATTTATTTGCTTCTTCTGCATCTATAGAAACATCAGCTGTATTCTGAATCGAGTGCATGTTGTCACAACACATGCTACGTCATTGTTTATTCATACAGGTGTGCTTCACGCTAAAACGTGTGCATGCTTCTGGTTGCTACAGATACTCCAATTTCTCAAGCTGCGCACTGCTCAAGATGCTTGCAAACTGCATGACATAGTTTAATTTGGGATTGTAATATTTTGTATATGTATAAGTGTATATTTTAGTATAGGAATGTAAAAAATGTAGTATTTAATACTTTAGATATGATTTTAAAAATATTTTAACAGCTCATGTTGATATTTCATGGAGTACATACAAAAGTAAAAAAGCAGAAATAATGAAGACGGCATACTATATATACAACTTCAAATTTATCGGAATAATTGTATAATTTGCGAAATTATAGATGTAAACAATAGCATTAATTTTACATAATTATAGGATTTACGATGTATTGTGAATTAAACTTATTTAAATTTTAAAGCGTCTGCAATGATCAGTTTAATTTTAATCTACACTTACCTTTATGTTAGAATATGCGTAAATATAAATGCATGAAATCTTTTTTTTATTCCATTCAAAATATTCATCACTAGTTATTTATTCGCATTAGTAAACCCATGCTCTATTCTAAATATTGTTATGTATCATTTAAATGATTACATAGTGCCGATAATAGAAAGATTAATAAACGATAATTCTACTTTGGATCAAAGTACTAACATTACGAATTTATAACGTTAATCGCCTTGCTTAAATTAAGGAACTGAAAAATATTTTCTGGAATTTTTTTTCAAATATGTATGTTAGACTTAGCAAATTATATGATATATTATATTACACAAATAATTTTGGCAAACTTGAAAAATATGAAATTCTTTTTTCTTGGTAAAAAAATACATTTCAAGAAAAATCTTGCTCGTTAGTTATTGCTCGTGTTTCTAAAATTTTTCTCATTCATTTTTATGTACTCCTTGTTTGTTTACTTCTTTTAATCTGACTGCATCATATTTCTAGAAATACAGTGTTACGCATTATTTCAGTTAAAAAATGCAAAATCCTTTATATTGCAAAAAAGGCGATATATATTTAATTGCGTGTTTGTCCAGAGAACTATGATTTAATATAAAACTGCTTATAGTACTTAAACTATGAAAATTGCAAGTGAAATTTCTCTGATCATTTTTATATTTTAAAAATCTTTCTTAGCAGCGAAAGCAGATTTCAATTAGAAAAAAATTACGTATAACTAATTATGTTTTTGATGTATTAGTATATGGCTATACATGCATATTAGAATTTAAAAAAAAATAAACGAGTTATGAAATATAATTATCCTAATGTGCTGTATAATTATGATGTTATCCACTTTATGAACGTATTATATTATATTTATTATATTTATTTTATAATGAGTTAATCCACTTTATGAACGCATAAATATCCGACAAGAATAACACCATACGTACTTGCCCAACTAGAACGTGATAAATGCGTAAACTTAAATATGATGGAATATCACATGCACCACACCTCAGAACACGCATTTCCCCCCGACAGGACTCGACCGGACAGGAAAGCCATCCCTCTGCACGCGAGTTCCTTTTAACGCTTGCCACTCATCGAGAAATGACGGGTATTAAGAAGAAGAGCTTAAAAGTAATTCACCGTTTCATGAAGGAGCAAAGGAATTTCAAGAAATCACAAACATAGGCGTAGGATACTTAAGTTTTCCTTAAGCATCTTGGCTAACATTTTCGTTTCATTTTTTACTATTTTTTATATACATCTCAAACCATTAACTCGAAGGAAGCATAGTAGTTTCTTGTGATGTACATTGATTGTGTTCAACTGCAAGAGTAACCCTTCTTCTAATAGAAAATTTTAATTACAGTAAATTATACAGAAGAGAGAGGATTTCAGCTTACGACTTCGTAAGAGTTTGGTGTTCAGAAAAAATTCTAAATTAAAATCGATAACTGTTTTTTGGTTACTATATATCTTTGATTTATTGGAAATATAGAAAAATTAATTATGATTTTTATTCGGTATTTTATATGTAACACAGCGAAGTCAATAAGGTAAATGCTTAGACCTGAAACAATCAACTTCAGGAATTGTAAAATTCTAACATTTGCAGAATTTTGAACATTATGGGCTCCATATATAACTAGCGAAAAAATTTTAAGATTCACAAGGAAACTTTTATTTCAATATTGAGAAATGGCATTAGTTCTTTATAAGTACTTAAAGAAAATGGTAGTAGAAAAGAATTGGGGAATAAGTTCATCATTCATCTTCTTATATTATAAATATCGCATTGTAATGGTAGACCAGTAAATGTTTTTAATGCTCCCACTATCTCTTTTCATTTCACTAATTAAATATCTGTGCCCAAGAATCTCTTGAACTCTGCTCAGGTATTTCTAACCGCCTCTAACTATAGTCTCTTTTGCTTGAACTTTGTTGCAGGAGGTGATTCATTTGTCTGCTATTTCCTTTTCAGGAAAGCATAATGTTCTAGAACTGCGAATAATTTGTTTCCTCTCACTACGTTATATATATATATATATATGAGCATTAGCTCCAATGGTTTATCAAGATTTTATATAAAACACATTTCTGTATTTTTTTAAAAATAATTACTTCTGTAGTGTAGTGCGTCGTATAAATAATTTACACATGACTATGCGTGAGCAGTTTAGATAGCAATAAACTTCTCAAACTATACTTTTGTAATGAAGAATATTATATGTTCTGCTTACATTCCAGTATATATTGGTATTTTTAAACTACTATTGCTCCGTTTTTAGCATTCGTTCTGCATAACGTAAATTATTTAACTTAAAAACCCTTATTATTTATTTTTATTTCAACGAAAATTTTTTCTTTGCAAAACTTCTGTTAAGAAAGTGTTTTCAAACCTGCAAATTTAAGTATCTCAGTTATAAAGAATATACAAATCATTATAATTTTAAAAGCCTGTTACCAAAGTCAGATCTTATCTAGAGGACAGCAGGATGAAAATCAATAGATAGATACTGATAACTATTAGCCTTCCCCCAAAAGTTTCGGATTTTAAATTACAATTATACTTAGGAATTAATTTTCCACATCACACATTTTTGCCTATATGTTTAAAATCATGTCGCGAAAATTATCCTTAAGTGTGATTCAAGTAAAATGTAAGTTAATGTTGTTTTTATAGCAAATGTATTTGATACTTCTAATTTGTAATTTAGAGGCGTATGGAATCATGTCAGAAGTAGGGTATAAACTCTCGCATTATACATATTGAAAACGTTAACCTTATTTTGCAAAGTAAAAGATTATTTCTACTTGTCAATTGTGCATTTATAGGTAAAAGAGAAAGATATTTGCCACTGAGAAATTTTCAAACTCATGTGCGGTATATATATATTTTCTTCATTTCTCACAACACAGCGTAAAAGCCGTGTAAATGCAAAGCAAATGAATTTACTTTCCAATCATTCCAGAAAAGGTTTACAGAAGGAAAAGGAATTATATTCTTACGGGGACATAATTAAAATTGAAATTCAAGTAACACAGGCGTACAAAAATTTAAATTTCTATTTTTTAAAAAAATTATATAACATTTACAGTTTATTAAGATTGCTGATTTGTAAATAAAATTAATCTGTTCGCATCATGAAAACTTACTGAAATTTATTTTAGCCGGTTTTGATTAGGTTTTGTATTTACATAGATTTGTGAGTTAAATAGCGAAAACATTATGACTTCAGTATAGAATACTATGTAATATATGTCAACAGAAAATGCTTTATATGAGCAGGAAATCGCATGCAAATTTACATAAAATATTACAGTGCAATTGCTTGCATAAGAAAATTGCTCAGTCAAAGACATTGCACTGCTTTTATCTTTTGTTAGCAAAGCTACATTTTCGTGTTTTCTTCTACGTCCCTTATTTCGCGGTATAAGTCCCTGTATTTCGCGGTGCAGTATTCAGATAATGTGTAGGCAAATTAATATTCCCAACATCTTAATATCTTCTTTTCCATTTATGGCATTAATATTTTCTAGGGAAATATTTAAATGTGAATTGAAAAAAATTATAGTTAAATTCACTTCCAAATATAACAAAAAAGCTATTTAAACTTTTGGAGGATATATAACTGGCCACCTATTTAGAGACTTTATTACTACCAAAAACTTACTAATGATTTCCGTTTAGGCAATCCGAGCTGCCATTTAAGCATACTTTATGACTAGCTCAAACGTTGTATTTAGCATTCATTTTATAGTGATTGGTCAGACGAAAATGCGTTCTTTCAGTTTGGCTGGAAAGGGGATAACAATTTTTACAGAGGTGTGTAAAAGCAATAATGCGTTTTTAGCAATGTCATCAGAAAATATTTTATAGATTCATTTCAATCTGGAAGATTTCGTTTTTAATATTAGCAAGATTCGGACGTGAAGTGAGTTTTGCTGCCACGTTGAAGGGATTTTCGTAAAGGCCTCTGTTTTAGTTGTTTCCTCGAGCCGTATATTTTGCTATACTATCCTGCTCACGTATTGAATACGGGAAAATAATATAAAAAGCTCGGTGGCCAGGAATCACGTACGATACTCAACAAATTGTCTTTTCTTCCCCATTGTATTTTATATGCATGAGCACTGATTCGAACTTTAATAAATTTACTAGAGATGTGCATAATGGCTAGCAGATTTGGATGCCTACCTTTCCTTATTGGCTTTTACGAGTCACTAAAGAGCTTAAAAATTTATAATTTATACAAAATTAGCATTTAGTTTGTAATGTTTTGTTTATGTCTAAATTAATTTGTTATGTCTTTATGATTAATTCAAATAGTGAATTATAATTGGAGCAAGCAAAATGTTATGTTCAACTATGCGAAAAAATGTTTAAATATTTCACAATTCTTAATGCCTCTTTTGAAC